ATTCCATCATTTCGTTAATTAACTCGCTACAATTATAATTATTTCGTATTTCGGTATTCGGAGATATTTCGATCACCGCGGACGTCTCGTCGAAATATTATCATTCTCACTATTTTCCGTACGTAGTTGATTTGTATAAAATAATTCCATCATTTCGTCAATTAACTCGCTACAATTACAATTATTTCGTATTTCGGTATTCGGAGAAATTTCGATCACCGCGGACGCCTCGACGAAATGTTATTCTCACTATTTTCCGTACGTAGTTGATTTGTATAAAATAATTCCATCATTTCGTCAATTAACTCGCTACAATTACAATTATTTCGTATTTCGGTATTCGGAGATATTTCGATCACCGCGGACGTCTCGACATGTTATCATTCTCACTATTTTCCGTAAATAGTTGATTTGTATAAAATAATTCCATCATTTCGTTAATTGGCTAAATTGATATTTTGCCGCAAATTGGACCTCCTTGATGTCGATCGTCCGACACGTAACTTTTCCTTTATTTTCTATTACTCGCCATGACGTCATCGCGATTATATTTTGCCAATCAGAAATCAGTCGCGCGTTACTCTTCGAGTCTTGTTTCAACATTGCTAGAAAACGCCCAATTATGCACCCGAGCACCTCTTACGGTAGCGCAACAAGGAGGCGTAATTACGCACGTAAATCACGCGACGCTCGTATCATACCAGATCGAATTGAGATCTCAGTCGGCGCTCCGGGCTCGGTAAGCGTGTAATACACGTAAGGAGCGATTGCGAAAACCCTGAAGTTCATTACTATGCGGAGGAAAGCGACAATCGATACTTATTATCGAACCATATATCACCGTATCGACATCGTGAATGTACATCGAGAATACAATTTCTTTCCTACAAGAAAATTATTTCCTTGAACGGAGTTGAAAAAAATATATATATATATATAGCCTAAAATAAAAAAAATATAGTATTCGTTACTATAATAATGCCGAATGTTTAACTCGGATGCATTGCAGAGAACACTTCATATCTTAAAATAATAAAGTAAGAAATCGATACCATACATTTTCTTTCTTGAAGGTGAAGTAAAACACGTCGCCGACGTTTGTTTTTATATTGACAGCTGGGTCGAATTATATTGGGTATTGTAATAAATGGCATACTCCACCTGTTGTTTTCGTACAATAATTATAAGGAAATCGAAGTAAAACTCCAGAAATCCTCTGGATTCTTGGTTTCTGAGGCCCTAATTGACTGCGGTGGGACCCTCTGCGCCATCTGTGATTTCCAGGTCAACTAAATTTTCACTCCGAGACCTCGTATTCCCATCGTTTTAGCATAGAAGCGCATACAACACTTTTTTTGCCTTTATCCCGTTCGAATACGAGTTTATCGATTACCAGAGTGTTCTACATTGTCGTAAAATTGTCCTGACCCTTTCGATTCTCACATCAGAGCCTTCGATAATTGTATATCGATCGAAATATGAGAGCTCGACGCCATTTTGGTTCTGATCTGGGCTGAGTTAAAAAATTGTTTTAAAAAATCCAAATGTTGAATGTGCCAGGACAATTCCTAGATGATCACGAGTAATGTGTCAAAGTTTCGGATAATTTGGTTCAATACCCTTAAAAAAAAAAATGTGTTTTATTAGAATCGACTGATTTGAGGGGAGTTTCACTTCACCTTAATGACGGAAAAAACCGACTTTGTGGGTCATCGGTCCCGGGACTTGGTGGAGTGCTTTCGTAAGTACTTTCCTGGCCGCGCAATTAGCATGTTAAGTAGGAATAGGGTTTCAGTTAGCCGATTAGCCGGTCTAATTCGCCGGCACCTCTCGGGCCCCATTGGTATTCCGCGCGGGTTCGACCTTCCTCCTTTTTTCGGGCCCTCCCCGGGCCTTATTTACGATCGAACCGGCGAAATGTTAATTCATATCGGGGTCGGATGTAAAATATAATCGCGAAGACACGCCCGTAAGTGCATATATACACGAGCAGTCGATGTATCGACGAGTTCGACCTCCGATGTCGGGGTCCCCGACATTACCGATATTTAGGGACCCTCGATCATTTTTTTCATATTTTACGGGGCCCACTCTTGCTATCCTTTTTTATAACTTAAGGCTCGGTACACGAATTAAAGGGAGAAGAAACGAGGCGTAACTTCGCCTACAAATTACGCTCGATGAAATATCGGGGCGAAGTGCGAGAATTCTTACACGGAGAACAAAAAAAAATTTCTATTAACTCTTTGAACGCGGAGCCATTTCGACATATGGGCGAAATTCCTTTGACCGTGCAGGCAATATTGGACCAAACGTCGGCCGCCTTTAGGCGCTCTTAGTTGCCAAAGGGTTAAACTTACAGTATGCAAAATGTAATTACATTATGTAAAATGTACAGACTTTATTCGGTGAAATAAGGACTGCAGATTATTTCCGTTAGCGTTACGATGAAGCTTTTGTTACACAAATCCGTAAAAATTACGGATTAATGTCTATTGCAATTACATGTAAGTGCAGAAATTATGAAAATGTTTCTGCTACTGTACATGTGAAAAAGTAACATTAACTTAATTAATCCGTTAATGGGGCAGTTGTTAACCGTATCGTGAACGACAATTGCCAACAGGTAGGCTTTTGTAACTTAAGACTCTTATTTTTCTCCGTGTAATGTCCATTGCTTTTAAGTGAAATTTTGGGCTTTCTGTATTTTGGCGTTACATAAAATACAGAATATTCCTTGACGATATATTGAAAAATTGCAGCTGCCCTGTTTCTTAGTTTCCATTTTTTTTTTCTTATGAAAATGAATGTTTAGTAACAAAGGGCTGTAAGCTGTCTTTGATACAAATTCTGTAGCAATATATAGGGATGTCAATGAAATAGAAAATTCACCAAATACATTCTTGATCCCAGTTTCAATTACAAAAATACTTCAAATTGCTCTGTAAAGAGTGGAAACCATTTTTACTAAATACGATAGTACATTCATTCGTTTAAAAACTAACGTCATATATGTTGCCGAATGTTAAGAACATTTTGCCCGACGTAATACATGTATATCTACTCCAAAACTTATATTTTCCCTCAAAATCATACATCTATAAAAAATCTCCACAATTTTCCATTTAATCTAACCAAATAGAAAAATTAAAATCTAAATGTAACCAAAAAAATAAGAAACTCTATTTGAAAACATTTTATTTGACGAGCGCTCGAAGTATGCTCATAGTACTTATTATCGTCATTGTTCTAATGCTCTGCAAATAAAATGTTAGTTTCTAATTTTTTTTTTTTTCATTTGGATGGATCAAATAGAAAAACGCGTAGATAGGTATCGAGTAGAAAAGGTTTATTTTATTATATTAACTTAATACAAATTTTACAAAATGGTTCCTAGCGACGTCATTTATATTGAGCATGCTTGGTTTATCTATTTCCTCTTTATCCATTCGCAGAATATTTCTTTTTAAACGAGATTGCCCTTTGATGGTACAGACAGTACCGATTGCAAGAATGACTACCTTAATGCGCCTGCGCGAATCGTTTCCTGACTTTCACGCGGACTCGTAAGTGATTCCAATATTCGTAACGCATTTCATCCCAGAAGTTGTAACGATGGTCGTAAAGCAGAGTACCATCTCCGGGCACCCTTTATTACTGGCAATCCTCGCGACGTATCTATACAATTTAACCAACCCATGCGATCTGCTCTTGAATGGCGAAAGCGGGACATTTTCGCAGGTCGGTCGAAATTTACCATCTCCGCTTCTTCCTCGACAGCTCTTTTTTCGTGTAAAACAGGCCTCGATCGACTTGGTCCCTCCGAAACGATGACACATAACTTGGCTCTGAAAAATGTACACCTATCCTATGCATAAAATTTCATTTTTCATCCGATATAAAAATTGTTCATACAAAAATGCATTATAGACATCAAGACCTTTAACCCATTGGCTACTAAGAGCGCCTAAAGGCGCCCAACGTTTGGTCCAATATTGCCTGCACGGTCAGAGGAATTTCGCCCATATGTCGAAATGGCTCCGTGTTGAAAAGGATATGAAAGAGTCACTCTACACATTTAACGCGTCAAAGTATATATAAAATTTTTCTCCAAACTGGGTGCATCGAGTCATTTGGAACTTCGGCACGTAATTATGGAGGCTCTAAGGAAGAACGTGGTGCTTATGAAATTTCACTTTTTTTTTTTAATATGTATTATATAAATTATTTTATTAGTTATAGTATATAAATTATTTTCTTTATCAAAATCGGGATCTCCCGAACACCAGGTTCCACCTTAGGGCCTCTATAATGGGATTCTGAAGTTTCCAAAGATTCAGTTTATCCAATGTGTTCATTCAGTATAAATATTATAACATTTTATGTATATAGAATGAACCTTGTATATCAACGAAGAGCTAATCACTCGGAAATCAGTGGCCTTCAATAATTGTGTATCGATCGAAATATGCGAACTCGACGCCGTTCTGGTTCTGGTCTGGGCTAAGTTGAAGAATTTTGTCTTGAAAAATCCAATTGTTGAATGTGTCAGGACTATTCTTGGATGATCACGATGTGTCAAAGTTTCGGGCAGTTTCTTCCAATACCCTTAAAAAAAGGTGTTGTATTCGAATCGACTGATTTGAGGGGGGTTTCACTTCACCTTAAATCGACCCACTGGTCGCGAATTCGGCAGGCCCGAGGTTGGGCGTCGGGGTCCCTTTAATGAAGTTTCTCACGAGAAAATTTATCTCAGCCGACTGGCCGTCTTTACGATCCTCCGGAGCCCCCTTAACGATCCATAAAGATCTAAGTTTGGTACCACTGCATTAAAAGGTTAATTCCCGAGTCCCGAGGTCGGGGGGACGTAAAGTAAATCCAGCTGAAAATGCGCACACCCACCTCCGAGGGTCCGCCATATTCCTTCGTCCCGGCCTCTTGGTCGCTCCCTCTTTTCTCGGCAAGCACGTAACGAATGACGATTTACCATGGGCTTCCAGGAAAACGGATGTCTCTACTCGCACATAAGATGGGGCGAGGCCTTCGTCGTGGTCTACAGCGTGACGTGCAAGCGCAGCTTCCAGGAGGCGAGGGGACTCCTGAAGCAGCTTGCCGATCTGCGGCTGCCATCCTACTTTACCGCCCTCTTGCTCGGCAACAAGCGAGATCTCGATCATGCACGGTGAGTATGTCGACCGTCGCCAACCCGTTTCATGGATATTGCCAGGAAAAAGAAAAGAAAGGGAGGAAACGTGTACTAAAAAGACGACCCGACGACGGGGCGAATTTGTTGGGCGCCTCCACCGTGGTCGGTATAAGGAGCTCTCCCATTCTGTGATCTTTTTTTTTTTTCTCGACAATGAGTCCTTGCCAAGTTGGCCAGAAGCAACACGGGGGACAGAATATAATATAATATATATAAATAAACTGACAGACAAAAAAATACGTTGTGTGCAGATTTGTCCGTGGTCCAATCAAATTTTGCACAAAAGATACTTCGAACGGGGCGAATTTGTTGGGCGCCTCCACCGTGGTCGGTATAAGGAGCTCTCCCATTCTGTGATTCTCTTTTTTTTTCTCGACAATGAGTCCTTGCCAAGTTGGCCAGAAGCAACACGGGGGACAGAATATAATATAAAATATAATATATATAAATAAACTGACAGAAAAAAAAAAACGTAGTGTGCAGATTTGTCCGTGGTCCAATCAATTTGTGCGCAAAAGATACTTCAGAAGTGGAGTCTTTATCAGGAATTAATGAATTGTAAGAAGATTGGATCGATTTGGTTTTTCCATTCATTCTTTCATAATCCGTAATCGCTCTATGCTCAGAAGAAATAAAGTTAAACGTTATCGTGGTTAAACATTAAGAACTGTAATACGGGCGCCAGTTCTCAAAGAGATACCAGAGATATTTATGCAACAGCAAAAAAGAGAAGAAATAGCTTTACAAATTGCAATGTTACTCTCCCCCTCTGTAGTTGTACAATAGCCTTCCGTACAACGCGGTTAATGTCACACGCTATATGAATTTGCGTTATAAGATATCGTGCCGTACGGGAATTTTCGCTCGTATATCGCGAAATATAAAAAGGCGCGTTGTAGGAAAATTTACGCGGTATATGAAAACAGTAATCGCAATATCTTTGGGATTTTACAAAAATTCCATTTGTAAGTACTCGCCTTAGACGGTAGTCTACTGTATATCGTATCCCTCTATGGACTGATGCCTATTGAACAACTCGTAGTGGTAATGTTTAACGCAATTTTTTTTTTCCTTTAAGTACCGAAACTTACCACTTCGCGTTCACGGCGCTAGGTTCCAACTCCGCCGACCGGCGTCTTTCCTGCCGGAGAAATCAGCCGATCGAAAAGCGATCCGATTTTTCCCGGCTGCCGAAAGCCGACTTCACTTTCCACCTTGCTCGGTAATAGGATCCGAGAGTTCCCTAGACGACGTTGCGTGTGCACCGCGCGTGCACCACGCGTGCACCGTAAGAGCGTACACGCGATGCGCTTCGTTTTGTCCCCCATTCGAGATCCGCGGCCCTTTCGACCCGTTTCCGAAATAGCGCATCATGGGTGTGTAGAAACGAAGCTTTAAGGCGAAACGAAAGTGCCATTTGAGGAGTCAATCGTTTATGAAACTTTCCTCCGAACTGGATACTCCATATCGTTGCAAATTTTGCCACGTGGATATGGAGGCCCTGAAGAAGGTGCCGTCGCCCATGAAATTTAATTATTTCGCAATTTTTTGTAAAGTTAAATCACCTTAAGGTGATATGAAAGTGGTTTTTGGAGAGTCAATTGTTTATGAAACTTTCCTCCGAACTGGATGCGCCGTATCGTTTTAAATTGTCCCTCGTGGATATGGAGGCCCTGTAGAAGGTGCCGACGCCTACGCAATTTCATTGTCTCGCAATTTTTTTATGACGTTAAATCACCTTAAGGTGATTTAAGGAAATGGTTTTTGGGGAGTCAATCGTTTATGAAACTTTTCTCGATATAATTGCAAACATTTATACCGTTGGTGCAGTTATTCCTGCAATAAGGGGTAAACATTTATCATCAACGTCGTCCTTTGCCCGAAGCGCAATTCTTTTTCCGTGCAGAAGTTTAAGAGCGATTTTCCACGATGAAGCTCACAACTAAAAATAATTTAATGTGGCAATTAAAAAATCAACAGACACCGCATATCGAGGTGCAATTCTTTCTCCGTGCAGAGATTAAAGAGCGAATTTCCACGATGCTGCTCACCGCTAAGAAACTTAATACGGCAATGAAAAAAAAAAAAAAAAAAAACGAAGAAACACCGCGCCTCGAAACAGAGTAAAGATGTAGGAAGTGCTGCCAATTGAGTGCTCGAAATATATAAAAGCCTCTTCGGGGCCCTCTTCGAGGCGACGCCGAGAAACCCGAAACGGGTCGTCGCGGCGCCAGGAATCGGCACGGCCTCACCGCCGTCGTGCGTGTCGTCGAGGTACAAAACCTCGGTACAACCTCGGTACAACCTCCGTACAACCGGACCCCGTCACACCCGGCAGTGGTCGGTACGAGTCCGCTCACCTAGAAACCGTTTCACGCGATCCACTCGATCGTCTTACTCTTACACCCGTGCTCTCGTGCCCGACTCGATCGAGTCCTAATGCGAACGCTTACCGGATGCATTCCGATCGATCGGCTCGATCGATCGACTGGACACGCCGATCGCGAGAGAGCGATCCAGAGCTTGCAGGGGCTTTCGAGGTAACCGCGATTCGGCTCCGATTCTGCTCCGATTTTGCTCCGATTTTGCTCCGATTTTGCTCCGATTTTGCTCCTATGCACACCGCTGGAAGAGATGCAGCTCCTGCAAGGTGCAGCTTTGCAGCCAGGGGTACCGGATCCCACCCACGAAAATGTGGAATCACCCTCTAGAAATTATCGTACACTTTCAGAGGATATGAAAGAGTCAGCCTGTATATATCTGAGAAGATCCCACGCACAAAAATGATGGACCACCCTCAAGAATTTATCGTACATTTTAATAGGATATGAAAGAGTCAGCCTGTATATATCTGAGAAGTCAAATCGTCGGGGAAAGTATTCTCCAAATAGGGCGTACCGATTCGTTAAAAATTTTCCCACGGGTATATGGAGGCCTTAAAGTACTTGCAACTCATGAAATTTCAATTTTCATCGAAAATTTATTTACTTATCATGGACTAGAACCAGCGTGGCGTGGTCCGTGAATATATGTATGTATATGTTCCATGAATTGATTACAGCTGTTTTTAACAGTGATAATAAAAGTCGGTTGTATTTTTTGGTTCTTTAATATTCAATGGGAAAACGATCCGAGCTTGTAACATTTTAGGGGGGGATTCGTGAGGACATTTTGCAGATCGTTAGGGGATAAATAATAATTTGCAAATTCTGGGCAGCGACGAGGAGAAAGTAGTTCCAGATCGGCAACTCTCCCCTGTCCACGCGGTGATAAGAAAAATGTAATTGCATCTAACTTCTAATCCGGCGAATGAAAAAATAGTCACCTATAGTAGTACTACTCGGTACAAGTTGCATTTAACTCGAAGGAGATAAAACGACGCGTTAAATAAACAGGATGCCAATGGAAAAAAACGTCTCAATTGACTCCGATTTCCATCGGACTTATTCCTTATTTCCGAGTCGGTCGAGTAAGTTGCGTCATCACCTAACCTCACAAATTTAGCTCAAATCCTACAAATCTCAGAACGTTTTTTTTTTTTTTATACATAAAAAGAGTAATTTTCAGGATTCATATTTTCATTTACTTAACTAAAAACCTTCGGTGTATCTTGTATATAAATGGAATTAATCTTGGAACCACATTCTTTACAAGAGAACTGCAAATTTCCAACGTTCAAATTCCTGGGAGTTTAGACAAACACCTTCGTTCGTGCGGATTTACTTTTGCCTTCTTGGTTTTGATTGGTTACAAAAAGAGATTCTTTTTATTTTATTAGATTATAGGAAATGAGAGGTTATGAAGAAATTCCCTGTAAATCCTGAAATTTGCTCTTGGTCCATTGTCGCAACGTAGCATCCTAATCGCGCCGAGGAAAGGATGCTGTAGATTTATTTTCGCCTTCCTGGTTTTAAGTAGTTACAAGAAGAGATTCTCTTTATTTTATTAGATTATAAGAAATGAGAGATTATCAAGAAATTCCCTGTAAATCCTGAAATTTGCTCTTGGTCCATTGTCGCGACGAGGCGTCCCAATCGCGCCGAGGAAGGGATGCTGTGGATTTATTTTCGCCTTCTTGGTTTTGAGTGGTTAGAAGAAGAGATTCTCATTATTTTATCTGATTATAGAATATGAGAAATTATCAAGAAATTCCCTGTAATCCCGAAAATAGATCTAGGCCCATTGTCGTCGCGACGAGGCGCGTTAATCGCGCCGAGGAAGGGATGCTGCGGATTTATTTTCGCCTCCTTGGGTTTCGATTGGTTACAAGAAGAGGAACCTAAGGTCACCTGGCGCCGTTTGAGCTCCACGAAGACCCCATTTCGGACGATCCTCTTTATTTTATTAGATGATAGAAAATGAGAGATTATCAAGAAATTCCCTGTAAATCCCAGGAATAGATCTGGGTCCATTGTTGTCGCGACGAAGAAGGGATACTGCGGATTTATTTTCGCCTCCTTGGTTTTCGATTGGTTACAAGAAGAGAACCCTAAGGTCACCTGGCGCCGGTCGGGCACCACGGAGATCCCATTTCGGACGATCGTCGAGTTTCCTCGACCTCGTGTCGCGCGGAATGCGGTTCCGCTCGGCGGCGGGGGACGCGTTTAAATCGATGTTGCCGTGTCCCGAGTCTCTTTCTTCGGCTCTAAAAATAAACCGCCGATTCGGAATCGCCTTAACGATCCCTGGGGACCTTTGCCTCTCGACTTCCCTCGATCGGGAGAGTCCTCGAGAGAAGCTGTCGTCATCCTCGCCGATTCCGCCCCAGGGGGTCATTGGGAGCCAATTCCCCGCAAGTCACATTACGATATTCCTCTTTGAGTACTCGCGATGCTAGGTTCCTCTTCTTTTCTTTGCGTTCCGCAAATTTTTACGGTCTTCTCAATGTTTCTTCTCCAGGATATGGAGATGAAGTCGATCCGCGGGGAATTAAAATTCAGTCCTCGGCAGAGTGTGGAAATTAAATTTCTGAAACT